GGACTATTAGAGGCTGTGGCGGGCAAACCCGGACCTCGTTTCCCTATTTGTGTGTACTCCTTTGGTGATCTCATCTAATCTTAGGATTTTAAATACCATTTGTGGGTAACAACCCTGACAATTTTAGCACAGACTTCCCTCCTAACCTCACTCTTCTGCTCACACTTCCACATTAATGTATGTTGGACATAATGGATTTGACCTTGATCTTTTTTTCTCAAACCAATGTCAACTGTTGTCTTAGCCATTTCAACGAATAATATTCCATTTATTGCAATTACTCAGGTAAAGTTTTTAACTCATCTTGTCTTTTGTCTCTCTCTCTCTGTCTCTCTCATATTTCTTCTCCAATTCTGTTTTCTTTGTTAAAAATATAGCTAACGCTTCTTATCACCATCATGACAACAACCCAGGTCTAACCCATCATTTTATCCCCCATTGATTATTGCAATAACCTTACAGCAAGTCTTCACAGAACTTGTGGAAGTACTACATATTTTACTGATCTGTTTCTTCCTGCTTCTTTCCGCTAGAACATAAACTCCATAAGGGCAGAGATTTCTGTTCACTATTTTATCACCAATCTTTGGAATGGTGCATAGCATTTCATAGGCCTTTAACAAGGCCTATTGAGTACACAAATGTAAGGGAAGACAATGTGTTCACACGAGGGCTGGCTTTAGTAGGAACATAACATTTGGCCTGGAGACCATGGAAAGAAGCAGATTTAGGTGAGTCAGTAGGTGCGATTTTAGGGACTTTTAAGGTTCTCTTCTGATTGTTTCAGTAGTACAAGTGAAATGAGAGACAAAAGCATCAGTTCAGAGAAAGAATGGGGAAGATGATTTTAGAGGTTTGAAGAAAGAGGAAACATCATGAAAGAGTTTTCTAGGATGATAGAAAGGAAAGGGCTGTGGAAGTATGACATGATTTGGGGCAGAATTGAGGAGACTGCTTGAGGTTCAGAGGGATGAACCTGATGTAAAACCAGTAAGCATGGTTGTGTGATTTCTCCTAGCTGTGGTTTCCTCCTTCTGTAGGAGTGCAATCGAAAAGGGTTCTATATTTGGTGAGGACTGTGATGTACCTAACAGGGATGATGAAGTAGAAGAGGGCACAGCATTTGAGGTGTGCCCCAGGCAGCCACTGTGATCAACTTGGCCTTTTGAGGATGGTTAAGGAGAAAAATAAAAGCTGAGTGTACTTGTGCACACCCATAATCCCAGCACTCTGGGAGGCTGAGATAGGAAGATTCTGAGTTTGAGCCTAGTCTATGCAACTTAATGATGTAGCAAGACCCTGTCTCAAAAAGTAAAACAAAAAAACAGCTGTAGAATGTAGCTCAGTGAAAAGCCCCCTTGTTTAGTGTCTAATACCACTCCCCATACACATAGGACAAATGTAAGAAAACATAATGCTGGTAGAATCACAGAGAATTTATTCCTGGTCCGGTGAATGTTGGAATACCAGAGGGAGTGGTATGAAGAAACAGGAAGTGGTGATCAGAGAATTAAAGAACTGAAATTATGAAGGGTTTTGCAGCTATTGGACCAGGTCAGAGATGTGAGAGTGTCACAGAATCAGTGACACAGAGAGAGACAGCAGAACGGAAGTAAAATAAAAAAGGATTTATTTGTTGACAAAGATTGATCCTATGCAAAGCAATGCCCGGATTGATCCAGTACTGGGCTATAAGTCCTTCTTTTATAGGGTTTTACAGCCTTGATCTCATTCAGGTGGTTGAATTGTATTTTCACAGTTCATATTACTGAGGTTCAAAACATGGTGGCGAGGTAGCTGGATTTCAACAGGATGTAGCACTTCTTTGGTAGGGGAGGCTACCTTTACGATTTATTTAGTTATCTATTCTAGCCCAGGGGAGGTGGAGGGCTGTCTGGACAGCAAAGTTAACAATGCTTCTTTTCATTTACAAAACTTTTGAGCAAGAGTAGATGCCTCCAGTGCCTGTTGATTCTGAACTAAACAAAGCAAACTGGTAGAAGTTAATTTACATTGTGACATTTCATAGGTTTTTCTATTAAAGTGTTCTCTATCAAGAGTAAGGAAGGCAAAACCATATTAGAAAAATTATCCTTTAGAGTATAATATTGGGTATTGCCAACCCATAATATTAGAGAGAGTAATAGTGACCCAGGAAGTAAATCTTCAAGAAAAGATTGTGTGAGGATGGACAGATGACTGCAATTAGGAGATATATGAATGATGTAGGCTGATGACATGAGATTCAAAACTGAAGGTGTAGAGGGAAGAAAGTAAAACTTGTCCAGAAGTAGCAAAGAAGGGCAAGGATGACACCTATCCTATATTAAGGCCCAGTGTGCAGGAGTGTCAGAAAACTTGCCACTACTGCGAGAGCTTCTTGGGAGATAGAAGCCTTTAGACAGAACATGTTTTTGTTAGAACTAGAAAGGGAAGAAAGATTTAGAGAAGAAATTACTGACATGAAGGATTATATAATGTCTGACTAAATTCCAGAGAAGGTACAGTAAAATGGTTTCAAGAGTTGGAGCAGGATATGGTATGGAAATCAAACAAGGTATGAGAGGAGCAGTTAGGAGTAAAGGAAGACTCAGAGCCTGGGTTCTTCCTGAGCATGGACTCAAACTGGGTTAAAGGGCAGGTTTGTTTGGACATATGGTCTGAGGCAGGGAATGGTGGCAGGGCTTAGAGGAGTAGGGGCGGGTCTTGCCAAGGCCTGGCATACTTTTTCTGAAAAAGCATAGAGGTAGCAGAGGGGTAGTGCTACCCTGACTGGAGGGGGTTAATATTATGAGAATTGTTTACACCCAAGTCATTTGCATTCTGCTTTGCCTCTTTGCATTTTCCCCAGTCTACCGCATCCATGAGTATTTTTATATTCTTTTTCTCCCATCTCAAAGGAGACCATGTTCCTAGTTTTGTTTCCTTAACTTTGCTTTCTTTTTTCTTTGAAGATTTGTTTCCTGGCAATGTTACTCTAATATCACATTCTTTATAATACACAATATTATATCCCAAAGGGTAATTTTTTCAATATTGTGTTGCCTTTACCTCTACTCTCCTTTACTTTTGCATCTCTGACCTGGACCAATGGCTGCAAAACCCTCCATAGTTTCAGTTCTTTAATTCTCTGATCACCACTTCCTATCTCTCCATACCATTCCCTCTAGTATTCCAGAGCCTTCCCTAGACCAGGAATAAACTCAATTTGATCTTACTGTAGGATTTTGGTTCTTTTTCTTTCTCTATTGGTTGTTTCCTCATCTACAGATTTGTTCAAATATACTCCATCATAATACCAACAGTTCACATGACTGTCTTGTCTCTGTTTCTTTCTCTATTTCAACCTCTGTCTTTACTTCCCACCCAATCTTCTTTAAAAAGGTCTATCGTGCCATTTTCTCTTGTCTCCCTTCCCACTGACCTTCATTTTATTGCTATATTAATAAAGTTTCTGTGGCTGGGACAAAACACCTGATGTGCACAACTTAATGGAGAAAAGGGTTATTTGGATTCATGGTTTTAGAGTTTTCAGTCCAGGGTCAGCTCGATCCAAGGCAGAAACGTGGTGGGGGAAGGGCCTGGCAGAGGAAAGCTGCTCACCTTTTGGCATCTAGGAAGCAGAGAGAGCAAGTAAGAGCAGGTGAAAGGAATGGGGTGGAGAAAAAGGCCCCTGTGACTTACTGTCTTCAACTGAGCCCCAACTCCTACCAGATCATTCATCTATGAACTCATCAGTAGATTAATCTAATGATGCAGTCATTGTTTTTATGATCCAGTCATGTCTTTAGGCTCTACCTAGAACATTGCTGTAAATCTTTGGGTGGGGGACACTTCATGTTTAAATTATAACAACAGCTTTTGGAATATCCTTAGCCTCCTCTTCATTTGGACTAAAGCCTTAGCTTTTGCCTTTTATGGCCCTTCACTGGTTGGGTAAGCAACCTCATTATTGTTCTCTTAACATTTTTTTTTATAACAAAAGATGATTTATTTGGAGAGAAAAGATGGAAAAGAGGATAGGCAGCTACAGTGAGGGTACGCGTCAGAGCTGAAAGCCCCTCTCTTAGCATTCTGGGCACATTCCTTTTCTATTTGTGAGTAGTCTACTGACCGTTTTCTATTCACTGTTGGATCCCTTGTTCCCAAAGATCTCCCACACAGCAAATACTTAATAAAATTACTTATAAATGAATAAAGAATAAGTGAAAGAAAAGGTATCTCCAAAAAAGCAACATGGTATTGTGATAGATATACTTTCTATTTTAAATCCATACTGAACCTTTTTTTGTTTTGTTTTGTTTTTTTGTTTTTGTGGAACTGGGGATTGAAAACAGGACATTTGTGCTGAGATACATCCCCAGCCATTTTTAAATTTATTTTTAAATTTTGAGACAGAGTCTCTCTAATTTGCTATGTTGCCTAATGTGGGCTTAAATTTGGGATCAATCCTCCTGCCTCAGCCTCCTAGGCTTCCAGGATTACAGGCATATGACACCGTGCCCCACTCAGCCTTCTTGATAATGACAAATGTTGGTGTTTCCTTGCGTGCTTGTTGATCACAAGTTGCCAACTGAGGAGTAGGGGAGGGTCTTGCCAAGGCCTGGCGTACTTCTTCTGAAAAAGCACCGACTGAACCTACTAATGTAGGGGCAAATGGATAAAAGCACATTTGAAGCAGACAAGCTGCTGTGTTTGTGATGAGCCCATGACAGAAGAGACATCTTGTGAACTGTCAGCAGCTCAGCAGCCAACCTGTGTTTATTGTCATCTCTTCCAACAGGGTCTTCCTGGAGTTGATTGCTTCTCTGGCAAATTATTAAAAAATGTTCTGATGCAGCATGGCTACTTTTATATCTGCTTTTTTGGCAGCCATCCACATTGTCACAGAAGTAGGCAATTTATCAGAGTACACAAGATAAATAACAGGTTACATGGAGAACGAAGTCAGGACCGAGCTGTGATGAGGTGAAAGGTCTAACCTCTGACCTGTCTCATAGGTCTCTTCTGGTGACTCTGAAGCCAAACCTCTGATCTTCAGCTTTGTGCCTACTGTCAGAAGACTTCCAACCCACATCCAGCTGGCTGACACTTCCAAATATCTTGTTAAAATTCCTGAGGAACCAGGAGACAAGAGTCCAGAAACCATAAATAGGGTAGGATCACTGTTATTCCTTTTTTATTTCAAAAATTATATTACATTGCTCATAATAATGACTTGGAAATTTGTATCAATGTTATTTCTTATGCTTAAAGTGATATGAATATGAAATAGATAATTACAATAAAGTTTCATATATGTAAAATTATATAATAGAAGCCAAAATGTTATCAAGTTCCAGGTTGTCTCTAAATAATTATTCTCAACTCTTCTGAATGGACATCTTGTTGTTTACTACTCACGGGGCAATTTCTTCTTCCTAGCACCTTCCTTCAGTATATATTTTAGATAATAAACTTCTATTGAGTGCCTCAATTAATCTTGGAAAAAAGATTAAAAACAGATTATTTACATGTAATGTACTAGCAATATTTAAAAAGTGATACTCAGTGTTGGGGCAATTGTAGGAATATTGACATGGCCAAACATCACTGCTAGCTTTGTAAATTTGTAAAATTTGATGGGAAATTTTTATCCACAATCATAAAACTATTCATAATAACCTCTCCACAATCTAGCTTTAGAAATGCATGTCAAAGAAATAGCACAAAAGAAGAAAAACATTAAGCATGAAAGTAATCCATGAAAAAAAAGCTTGATTCCTAAAATTCAGAGAAAAATTAAGCATATGCTGGTATGTGACCTTGAGAAACATATACGTGCATTAATTATGAAACACAGTAGAAAATATCACTTTGTAATGCTATGTGATAGTGACAGGACAGGTTCAACAACTGCATTCTGATTATACTAGTGTAAAATTAGGCCAAAACTGGAAGTGAAATCCAAACAAATAAATATCTGAAAATGATTGTTGTTAGAGCAATGCAATCTGGTATAAATTTTTCTCTTTAAAGTATATTTAAAAATCATTTTACTGCAATAATAAAATGGGGCCAGGAGAACGTGAGTTATTCTCAGTACTTAGGAAGTTCTAATACACTACTATATCTATGACCTTGGGGTTTTTAATGCTGCTGTCTTATTTCAAGGACAAATGAAATGAAATTGTTTCAGAGAAACTCTGAATACCATGTAAGGAGCTCTGACATGTCTAATAGGTCTCATAAAGATTCTCCGTAATAGTACCCAACCACATACAGCATATTCATGGCATCTTTTGTTACTGTGCCCTTTGAAAGTGTGAGACTGTGACAGTAAGATCCAATCTTGGTTGCAAATCTCCAAGCTTCCTAAGATGATAATATTCACCTCCTCATTGCAATGATATATGTTCAATCACGTCTTTAAAAGATTAAAGGTCTTTCCTACTTTTTAAATAGTTGAAAAATGTTAGGGATAATGTGATGGTGCAGGTCTGTAATCCCAGCACACAGGAGGCAGAGGCAGGCAGATACCCATGAGTTTGAGGCCAGCCTGGGCTACATAGTGAGTTTAAGGCCAGTCTGAACAACATAGTGAGACCATGTCTCAAAGAACCAAAATAGGGCCAGGGATTTAGCTCAGTGGTTCTGCCATCTGCCTCATAAGCACAAGGACCTGAGTTCGATCCCTGGTACCAAAAAAAAAAAAAAAAATCAAAATCAAAATCAAAACAAAAAAACAAAATAAAAAAAAAATTAGATTTAGGTAAGTGACCCCTTATTCACACACAACAACAACACAGCTCTACATCTATGCCATGTTCTTGGTGCTTGGAACCTAAGGAATAATGAAGATAATCAATATGGCTTATTGTTATGGGGAAGGCAGTAACAAAAAATAAAAAAGGAAACTAACAAAATCTGAGGTGGTGCTAAAATATATTGGAGTAAAAGAATAGAGACAAATGAACAGAGAGAACCTAACTGGAGCTGGTGTGTGGTTTTTTTACTACATCAGCAGCAGCGGCTGAACTGAGTGGGATAGGGGAGCTGTGGCTATCGTTTGACTTTGTTCAACCTTTAGACACAACGCAGACACACACGTTGGCATACATTAAATTAACAGCCACAGTGATTAATGGCTTAGCTTTTGATTTTGAAATAAATATAGCCTTATAGAAAAGTTTCAGAGAAATGGTAATCATGGGACCAATATCAAAGCAAGGAGATTGATATTGAGCCTTTTAAATACAATCTCAGGGTACACAGCTTTTTTTTTTTTTTTTTTTAGAAGAAGCAATTTGGTAGCTTGATAAAGATATATTATTTGGTCTTATAAGGCTTCATCACAGAAAACTGGATGGGAAAATTGAAAATTACAATTCAAAGCAAAAGAACAGTTAAAATATTCTGTACTAAAAATCACATCTTTTTCTACATCTCATTTTAAGTTCTTCCGATTAGTTTAGATTGTTTTGTTCGAGCATCTATGCATTTTGTTTTGTTTTGGTTTTTTTCCTTTTGGACTTTGAGAGAGATTATATTATTTTTGAACCTTTCAATGGAATTTCCTTCCATTGCCCTGGTTTTATCAAGTATATATGGGTTGTGTGACCATTAACTAAATCTTTGACCAATCTCCACTCTTATTTCCCTATTTGTTTCATGAACATCTTCACAGAAAATCTCAGTCTCTCTCCCACCCTCCCTCCCTCCCTCCTCTCTATTTCTTGCTGTTATTATGATTCTGAGTTCCAAGTAGTTTTGGCTTGGCCCAGGACAAATAGATGGGATAGGAAAACTAAACCATTGACTTCAGTCCAATCTCCCATAGGCCAGCCTGGTTTTTAATGTATTTAAAAATGGTTTATAAGCAAGTTAAACTTTTCAGTGTATGCTAAGAAAAAAGCATTTATCAAACCAGTGTCAATGTTTTTATCTCTCTTCTTCTTCTGCAGTCTAAATCCATTGACTACGTGACCTTTAACCTTGGGAGTGGACAAGAGGGAATCCAAGGGTCACCACTGACCTGTCCATCAGAGGACTTTGAAACGAATTCTCAAGGAGGAGGATTTAAAGCTAACGACCTTCAAAGAATGCAGCAGGGTGACCTCTTCAAGGCTGAGTATGTCTTTATCGTGGACTCTGAAGGGGAAGATGAAGTCACCAGCAGAAAAGGTGAACAAGGTGCCTCAGGGAGCACAAGCAACACAGTGGCCCGGCCCACGACTCTTGCTATCTCCTCCAGTCTGGTCTCAGATGTGGTGCCACCCAAAGTCTGGGGGCCTGAGCCCAAGGCTGTGTCACAGGCTGGAACCCCTCAGGAGATGGCCTCCAAGCAGAAGCAGGAACAGGTAGGTTTTGTCTTGTGCTCCAAAGAAAATACAATGAAAAAAAAAAAAAAAAAGCACATCCTTTTGTCCTGGGCTGTTTGAAAGGACTTAACATTTAGGCACACAGAACTCCCAAAGAAAAAATGTATTAAAATCTCTAAATCCCAACAACAGCATAGATCATCATAGTATAAACTGATGATAAATTGATAAGAAAAATGATTTTATGATTATAATGTGAATAGGCTGAAGAGAAAATACAACACATTTAGCCAGAGGGAGAACATTGCCTCTTCCTGTAGAACAATTCTTGGAGAATTTTTATGTTGGGAGTATCTTTAGGGAAAAGCAAGTGTTGGTCAGTTGGGTGCACCAAGAAGTACATTTCAGACTCAAACAAGATCCAGAGAGGAAACAGCAAATGGCTATTAGAAGTTGACACATTATAGGTTAGGCAAAATATCATAGTGGTCCTGGAAGGTACCAGAATGGAACGGACCTTAGTGAACTGGGAGACTATAAGGCTTAGCAACAAGAATGAAAGCTTCCTTAGGCACAGAACCCAAGGTTCAGTTGGAGGAGACCCCTGCTATCTTGTGATAGCAGGAGAGAAAGGGGTTGATAGGAAAGGACTGTGGTGAAAAAGTGGGAAGACTTTGCCATTAGCTGCTGTTAGAATGCGAGCTATAAGGCATAATAAACCTATGTTTAAGTCTGCTGAGGAGTGGCTGAAGGGCAGGGGTGGCCTGGAGAGGGGGCAGTGGACGTGCAGCTCTCCTGGACCATGGTGCAAGCACTGGTTCTGAGATGTCTGCTCAGTATCTGCCAGCTCAGGCCCTCACAAACATCCCAAAGAAGGTTGAAGGATGTGTGCATTGGTTAATTGGTCTCGTTGCATTACTTATAAGATGAGAAAGTAGGCATTTTATTTTTGGTATTCACTCTGTATTTATTTCTGAAACCTTCACTGACTTCCTGATGCTGCATTTTTAGTATATTCAGAAATATCCAGCATCATATGTTGCCTTTTGGTAATAAAAGTCTCTCACTGAATTGTTCTCCATCTAGATCTACTAGTCTACAACATTCCCTTCTTCCTGAAATTTAATCTTATCATGGCCTTAGAATAAGACACAATAATATAATTAAAGGCATTCTCAATAAGCTGTGATAGTCTGAAACATTTCCTCCCTTCCTCGGGAAAGAATATGCACAACCAAGGTAGAGATGTGGAGATGTCTGCTTGTTGGTGATGGCTTTGAGAAAAATGACATTCTGATGTCACCAAATATCAAGAAAAACATTCATAACAAGGAAATGTTAGAATGTTCAATTTACTCTTTTCCCCAATTGATTTATCTCTTCCCTTGAGATGGTCTTTTGTTATGGTTTTATATGGTCAAGTATAGAAAGGTCTGAGTAGAACCTGCGTATATGCTTTGGAATACATTTTCCAAAAAGCATATTTAGGGGTAGGTTTTAGTTCATGTTATCTAAGTTCATAATCAAAAGGCAAAGCTTAGCTTTATTCATTAGCAGTGGCCAAAAATTATGATTACCAGTAAGAGAGGAATGCTGAAATGTCTGGGAACTGTCATTGCTGCTCTTTTCTATAAAAATCCATTTGAGGGAGAGTGTATGTCATAATGAAAGTAAAGTATAATATAGCTGTTACCCATAAGTATGTACCAAGGAGAAACAAGTAGCAAATCAAAGAAGGTCGACTGGGAAGTTTAATGTAGTCTGTAGTAGTTTAATATAAAACGTCAACAACAAACTGCATGATTGAGCTTCTTGATACTAACAATCACAATTTTTGGTTATAAATGCAGTCAATTAAATGAATTTGTGGTCTGTCTGGTTAAAAAAAAAAAAGAATCAGCACTGAACTATCTATGAGTCAACACTGTGCATTAGCCAGTAAGAGCCTATTTCTAAACAGTGTCTTCATCTTAGTCTGGCCTCTATCCTTTTCATGCCTAGTCTAGATGTCTTTCTAGACAAAGCTTGTACCTCCTTTCTCCAGCTCTCTTGAGCAATCTCCACAGTGCACACATGGCGCAGTTCCATCCTGGAACCCTTGATTTCCACGTGGGATGCACTTTCTTTATGGAGCTAGATTCATTCTGTTTTCAGCTCCTTGATACCCTATGCTCAACTCGAATTGGACCTCCCATCAAGGATGTCCCTTTTATTTTCATCAGTCTTTTTGTTTGTCTTCATGCCAATGCTTCATCTTAAAAATTTATTAACTTTACTGGTACATTTTAGGTATACAATATGATTACATTCATCTTTGGGAATTTGTACCTTTACATGATTTTTCTTGGTTCTTATTTCTCCCCCCACTTCCTTGCACTCCCTTTAATCACTCCACCCCTCCCTATTTGCAAAGACTTTGTTTCCATTTTTTCCTTTTCTCATATTTATTCCTTTCCCTTCTTTCCTTTCTCCCACCCCTCCCACTTCCCCTTCACCTTTGGAGCTTTTCTTCCCATTTCCAATGATCTATTATACATTTTTTGTTGTTGTTACTGGGGATCAAACTTGGGACCTTGCACTTGCGAAGCAGGTGGCGGAAGCATTGGGCTAAACCCCCGGCTGTCTTATACATGTTGATGCTTATTTATACTTTCAGTTTTTCACACCAAAGAAACTATTCAGTATTTGCACATGTGTGTCCTATTTATTTCAGTTAAGAGTATGGCCTCAATGTGCATCCATTTAGCTATAAATGTCTCTAGTTTCTCAATCTTTATGGCTGAATAGTACTCCACATTTTTTAAAAAAACACATCTTCTTTACCTGTCCCTTTCAAAGAGCAGATAGTGCTCCTCTTCCATCTTTTTTATCTTTATTGTTTTGTAGCTTTAAAAACATCTCTGCTGCAATTCCTTTTCACCTTGTTGTATTCATCAATTTCATGTTTTTTTCTTACCAGACTGAAAACAGCTTGAAATCAATGATGGTCTCTTGTTTGTTTCTACCCCTAGCACTTAGTTCTGTACTTGGCCCTAAGTGAGGTTCCAGAAAGTGCATGAAAAGCATAAATATTCAGAAGCTCACACTCTGCTCATCTCTGAGGTCTTTGCTGAGATATCCACCTCTTCATGAAGTTGGCTTTGGTTGCTTCGTTGAAAACAAGTTCTCCCTCAGTATAATTACAACAGCTTTTTATTATCCAATTGTATAATTATCCCATTGCAGCAGGTATTATAGCTACTTAGGCATACACATTATTTCCTCTACCAGATTGTAAAGTCTTTAAAGGTAAAACATTAAATTAATTTCCATTAACTATTTTATTTCCTAGAAGGGTGGGTATTCTTGAACATAATAATATAAATATTGTAGATTAATATGTCCCAAATACCTCCTTTAAGTGGCATGTCTAAGGAAAAGTACATTACATTAAAATGACTAAATCATGTTAAACTGTGAATTAAATGTACACGTGCAATATAAAATAAGCAGTTGAATCAAAGTCCTTTTAAGTAAAATTCAAAAGAGAGAGATTTGAGTATACATGGGTAAAAGTGTAAGAATTATTTCTCCTATCAATACCATATTATGACAGTGCAAGAAGAGATTTGTCGGAACAGTTGCGATCAAGCTGAGAGCTGTGGTAGCAACCATGAGAATAGGAAGAAAACCTCGTGAGAATAGAATTAGTTCCATTTCTTCATTTTTAATAAACAAGGACAGCTAATCATAAAGGAAGCAAGCTCATAACCAAAGAGATCAGTGAATGTTGATATTCAGAGAGGAAGGAGTCACAGGTCATAAGGGGAACTGGGTAGCCTTAAGCATCTGATGTTGAGTCTGAGAAGCACAGTGGTCCCGTGTGACGGGTGCTTCCCAGAAAAGGCCAGAAGCATGAACTGGAATGCAGGAGATGGGTGAATGTCTGGAGAAATTTGCTGTATAAATCAGGTCATGGGAATGCAGATCATTACTCAGGGAAAGAATGCAGAAAAATGACATAGGATTTAAGCCAGGAAATACGAAAATAAAAAGGACGTGTGAAAAAGAAGCCAGTGAAACAGACTGAAGAGGAAACCAAAGAATTTGGAATGGGGAATTGTATGAAATGAACAGGATAAATATTCTTTATTTAAAGGGGCCAGACACAGTGGTATATACCCGAGATCCCAGTCACCTGAGAGGCTGAGGCAGCAGGATCACTGGAGCCTGAGAGATAGAGTTAGAAACCTTGTTTCCAACATAGATAGATAGATAGATAGATAGATAGATAGATAGATAGATGAGATAAATGAAATATTTTAAAAATCCAAAGGACTTTCAATTAAAAGAAGAGTCTATATTGCAAATATAAAACAAGGTCAAATAAAGTAGGGCCCCTCAAACCCATTAATCTGAAGGGGGTTATTTGATGATCTTAGTGGAAATAACTTGGGTTGAGTTAGAGGGAGAGATGTGAAGTTGAGAAGCAGATAGGAAGGAAAGACAGGGAGGTCATAGAATTGGAGGCTCTGAAAGCAAAGATGACACAGAGACCTTACTGCACATGCTCATCTGAGCAAGTTACTTGAAATCACAGGCCTCACATTCCTTTTCTGTAACAGGAGGTGATACCAGCTTTCTTTGAGAAGCCTGGGATCATGTATGTCCAGGGCTCAGAACACTGCCTGGACCTTGGTAGACTCTCCACAAAGGAATCTAAGAAGCTGGCAAGGCCAGTGTGTTTTGGGTGTAAAGTAAGGGATTTGTGGAGAGGAAGAGGGTCTATATATTTATCAGCTTGGATCTGAGACCTGGGAAAGAAGATATGGAAAATAAGATCAGAAGAATTGACTGGGGTCAAATAAAAGAAGTTCTTATATTAAAGTGTGGATGATTTGGATATTAGTACAAATATTTATTAAATCAAGTCATATGTTGTGTTACAGTGTTTTTTTTGTCTGTGATAAACTGTATTGTGATGTTGATATGACAACTGTTTATGTCACTTTCTCTCACATGTGCACAACATGAAATCAACTAGTGGTGCATTTCTATGA